AGTACCTGGGTAAAAAAATAATCTGTACCACAAATCCCTGTGACATGAGTTTATCTAGATAACAAACCCGCACATTTACTCCTGAACTTAAAATAAAAGTTAAGAAAAAAAATTATTTGTTGGTTTCATGGTTATAGAAACGCTTTCCTATGCTTTGACTTACCACTCTGGTTTTATTTTTTAATGTTTAAATATTTAATCCATTTAAAGTTATTTGTGCATATGATGTGAGGTAAAGACCTAATTTTATTGATTGCCCATTCAGTGGTCAATTTCCCCAAATAAATAATCCATTCTTTTCTCACTGATTTAAATGCCACCTTAATAATATATTAGATTCTCATATACACTGGGTCTGTTTCTAGCTTCTCTTATCTGTTCTGATGGTTCAACTTTTCTATTTCTACACGAATATTATACTATTTATTATTTATGGTTTTTTGACATGCAGAAGTTTTGAATATTTTAAAACTTATACTATGAGTTTTCTTCCATTTAAAAGTTCAACCCTTCTATCTTATTTATTGAGATTTGTAAATGAAATAACTTAATTTCACATATGCATTTACTGTACAAGAAAAGATTAATTTAAGCAACTGAATATTTTTACTCTGCCTTTAACAATGGCATGCCTACCACCTCACATAATTTCTTCAGAATCTCCTTTCAAGTATATTAGAAAAGCCATCTTTTTATATCTACAAATAGAGGTATTTTTCAAATTTACTATAGGGTAATATATTTTAATTACAGAAAGTAATTTCATTATTATTGATGAGAAACAGCCAACAATATTTGTACAGTGTTAGCTTTTGTTGAAACATGAAATGCCTGCAGCTCTGGATCTGTATCTCTTGTGGATGTGTTTTTTTATTTTTAAATCACCTGTTACAGCTTCTGCAAATTAAAGTCAGAGAAAAATGTTTAAGATTCTCAATTCAGAAATATGATTAGAGTTTATTATAACTCCTCATTGGAGAATTATTTAATATAATGCTTCTATAATTAAACCTGTTATTTCTTCCTTTCACATTTAAACACAAAAAAACCATACTAAAAGTTGAATACCAAATGACAAATCATATCTACATCATTATTTTAGTAGTCTTGTTTTTAAACATTTCTTAAAGAAAAATAAAATCAAAATTTATATTTTATATATTTCTGAGCACATAATTAGAAAGTTTATATAATTCTTTATTAAAGCCAGAGTGTGGGAATAAAATAAAACTACTTGTGAGTATAGCAACACAGTTGTTTTATAAACAAAGAGTATTTCAAATGCAAAATCTTTAAAGTATTTAAAGCAAATATTACTCAATTATTTTATGCCAAAACTTGTATGACTAACATATTGATGTCAGCAACCTCCCTTTTCAGAATTTATCCTATAGAAACGTGCAAATATATAGATATATGTATTTTCATCTGTAGAACAGAATACTATGTAAATGAGTTGCAAAACAATATGTTTAGTTTTACCCCTTTTTTTTGTAATTAAACAAACATACCAAAAAAGTGTTCTATGTATATAGAATGTAACAAGATGAAGACCATGTTAGTTTTTTAGAGCAGGGAGTCCTCAGCCCCCAGCCCAAGGACCGGCTGTTAGGAACCTAGCCACATGGCAGGAGGTAACTGGCAGACAAGCAAGCATTACCATATTACCACCTAAGCTCTGCCTCCTGTCAGATCAGCAGGGGCATTACATTCTCAAAGGAGTGCAAACCCTACTGGGAACTGTACATGTGAGGGATCCAGGATGAATACTCCTTATGAGAATCTAACTAATGCCTGGTGATCTGAGGTGGAACAGTTTCATCCAGAAACCATTCCCCATGCCTCCCCAGTCCATGGAAGAATTGTCTGCCATGAAACTGGTCCCTGGTGCCAGAAAGGTTGGGAGTCACTGTTAGAGAGGGAGAAATATTTTGGTAGTAAAAATATCTCAATAAGGTAGCACCGACTGGTTGTGTACTCACATGTCATGGACATCAGCTTGCACCAACAGTGCATGAAGGTTCTCCATAAGGCTGTAAGAGGAGCTTGCAACGTAAAAGAAATAGAAATTATCCTAGAGCCTTTATTTTTTGGAGTGCAATTTAAGCATTTGTCTGAAGCACAATATTTGCCATTTCTTTCAAGGCATTGTTGTTTATTCTATTCTGAACCACTAGTGAAATGATCTGCTTCTGAAATTTCCTCCCTCAGCAATTTAATAATATCCATTTGTTGTTACATTTTGCTTTCCACCAAAATCATCTGTTGGTATATCAGATTCTGCTTTATTCCATGTTTGGCTGCTTTGTCTACTGACATTGTAGTAACAAAATTAAGGTGATGCATGTTGGCTAGCTGTTTAAAGTTTCTAAATAAATACTTCTTAGCCTTTGTCCCCAAATTTTTATAAACAGCTCCAAGAGATTGTTTAATTTTTAGCAGTTTATCTGTGATTCATGACAATAACAGTCCGTAATTCATGATTTCTTTGTTTGTCAAAATTCTGCAATTTTATTAGTGTTCTTAGCTATTCAGAATTCTTTTCCTCTTAACTGATTATTTCCATTTGTTGAGGTTAGAGAAATAAATAAGTCTTAATGTAAAAATGCAAATGCTTACGTGCCTTGCTGTTTGTTCTACTCCCTTATCTTTAGATTCTGGAAATTTGATCATCTTGTCTGCACATGCAAGAAAATGTTTGTAGGTCATGGACATTTTCTTTGATGGTCCATTGTGAGGTAGGGCTAATATCTAGAATCTACAAAGAAAATAAACAAATTTACAAGAAAAAAAAAACAACACCATCCAAAAGTGGGCAAAGGTTATGAACAAACATTTCTCAAAAGAAGACATTTATGCAGCCAACAAACATATGAAAAAAGCTCATCATCACTGGTCATTAGAGAAATGCAAATCAAAAGCACATTGAGATACCATTTCATGCCAGTTAGAATGATGATCATTAAAAAATCAGGAGACGACAGATGCTGGAGAGGATGTGGAGAAATAGAAATGCTTTTACATTGTTAGTGGGGATGTAAATTAGTTCAACCATTGTGGAAGACAGTGTAGTGCTTCCTCAAGGATATAGAAATAGATACCATTTGACCCAGCAATCCCATTCCTGGGTATATGCCCAAAGGGTTATAAATCATTCTATTATAAAGACACATGTACACATACATTTATCGTTGCACTGTTCACAATAGCAAATACTTGGAACCAACCCAAATGCCCATCAATGATAGACTGGATAAAGAAAATGTGACACTTATACACCATGGAATACTATGCAGCCATAAAAAAGAATGAGTTCATTTCCTTTGCAGGGACATGGATAAAGCTGGAAACCATCATTCTCAGCAAACTGACACAGAACAGAAAACCAAACACTGCATGTTCTCACTCATAAGTGGGTGTTAAACAATGAGAACACATGGACACAGAGAGCGTCACACATCAGGGCCTGTCAGGGGGTAGGGAGCTAGGGGAGGGATAGCAGGGAGTGGGGGGACTGGGGAGAGATGGCATTAGAAGAAATACCTAACATAGATGATGGGGTGATGGATGCAGCAAACCACCAGTATACCTATGTAACAAACCTGCACATTCTGCACATGTATCCCAGAACTTAAAGTATAATAATAAAAAAAAGAATAGAAAAAAGAAAGTGCCTTATTCATCAGGGCTCTGGGTTGCTGTTTGGCATCCCCTATCCAGCTAAGGGAATTGCAACATGGGTCCTTGCAAACATATTTTACATAAGACACCACAATTTCCCATAGTTTTTAGATCGTTTATGCTGTATTCTTGTAGAAATGGAAGACAGTTCAATAAAAAAGGAAAGGGCAACACAGAAAACTATTTTTCTTAAGGGTATATATATATATATATATATATATATATAGTATTATATATAACTAATATATATATTACTGTCATCTCTTACTTCCTAATAATTTTGTTTTCTTCTGTCTTGAAATTCTTAAGGATATGATTTTTGTAGATCCTGGTGCATTCCAAACATACTGTTAACCCAAACCTCTCCTCTGTGTTTCAAATCCAAATAGCCAACTATCTACTGAAAAAATTACCTCAGAATCAACCTGACTAAAATGGAGCTTGATATTTTATTGTCAATTAACTATTTCTTATCTCAATCAGTGGCAACAGCATCCATCCATTTCCCCAAACCAGGGACTACAATACATAAAGCTCCACCTCCCTCACCCTCAATATCAAATTGGTTCCAAGAATTGGCCAATTTTACTAACCTCTTGTAACTACCCTCTGCTCCCCCTGCCCTGATTCAGATCCCAGCTACTTGGGGCCTGGGCTTTAGCCTCTTAACTGTTCTCCCTATCTGTCATCTCACTCCTTTCATTTCATCCTCTATGTTGCTGTCAGAATGATCTTTCTAAAACACATATAATACTAAGTTTTTACTCTGCTACATGTATGGAGACTGTGGTGTGTGTGTCAGGCTCTGTGGTAATGTGCTGGAGCTAGAAGGATAAACATGACTCTATGTTTGATAAACATGACCCTTAATTTCATAATCTGGTGGAGACAAACAGTTATAATACAATGATAAATAATAATACAATGATTTTTTAAAAGATCCCTAGGGACTTCCTTACAAAATGAAGAGGGGCCACATGTCATAGAGGAAGGAGCACCTGATTCTGCCTTGGGAATCACAGGATTCACAGTGAAAATCAAAGGGAAGAGAAACTTGAAGCACTTTACACGACATTGCCTCATATGAGAGGACTTCAAAAAGCTTGCGGGGAAAAAAAGGGATTAAAAGATTATATATATATATATATTCTAAAAAAGATAATAAAAAAACTTATTTCTTGACATAATCTCCATGGGTTCAAGACATTTTTGTAAGCAATTATACCAGTCATTTAGTCCATCTCTACAGAACCAAGGGTCTTGGGAATTTTCATACCAAAATAAACTTTTATTTTCAAACAAAATAAAAGTCCATGTCAATACAGTCTTTTACTTTATTAGCTGAAGAAAAATGGATGCCCTTTTAAGATTTTAAGACTGAGAAACAAAAAGAAGTCAGAAGAAGCCAAATCAGTACTGTAAGCTGGGTGCCTAATGACTTCCCATTGAAACTCTTGAAAAATTGCCCTTGTTTGATAAACAGAATAACCAGGAGCATTGTTGTGCTGGAGGAGGACTCTGGTGAAGCTTTCCTAGGTATTATTGTGCTAAAGCTTTGGCTCAAAACACTCCCATTAAAAGCAGGTGTTATTATTTATTGGCTCTACAGAAGATCAACAAGCAAAATGCCTTAAGCATACCAAAAAATTGTAGCCACGACAGGTCCACTTTTGCCATGATGGATCACTTCCACCTCTTGGTAGACATTGCTTTGATTGTGCTTTGCCTTTAAGACAGTACCAGGAAAGCCATGTTTCATCTCCTGTTACAATTCTTTGAATAAATGCTTCAGGATCATGGCCTCATTTGTTCTCACTTGGATAATTCCATTGAAATTTCTGCTCTTATTTGTAGCTGATCTGGGCTCAACAGTTCTGATATCTGTCGAGTGGAAAGTTTACTCAATTTTAACTTTGCAGTCAGAATTGCTTAAGCTGAACTAATTGAGATGTCTATAGTGTTGGCTATTGTTTCTACCATTAATCATCAGTCCTCTTCAATTAGGGCATGAATAAGACAAATTTTTTCCTCACAAATCGATGTGGATGGTCTGTCACTGTGACCTTCATTTTCAACATCCTCTTGCCTCTTCTTAAAACAGATTATCCATTTGTAAACTGCTAATTTCCTTGAGGCACTTTCCCTATAAATTTTCATAAATTGTCATTCTTCCATACAAGCTTTGCCATAAATTTGATGTTTGTTTTTGCTTTAATTTTAACAGCATTCATGTTTCTCTTATGGGGACTCTTTTCAAACTAAAATCTTATTTTTTTTTTTGAGCCTCAAACTCGATCCTGTTCAGATATATGATAACAACTTAGTTTATTTTGGTATAAAAAATTTTGAAAGCCAGCATAGTGTTTTCATAATACTCATTTTCCATGAAGTTCTTGAAGACCCCTCATATATCTCCATGAACCTGGGTCTCAGAAATGGTAGGGGCCATGGAATGGGGTGAGTGAAGGACTTGAGGAGAGTGTGGAGTTGTGCACTCCAGACTCTCTTTGTGGGGAAAGGGAAGAGATGTTTATCAAGATGCCTGAAAGTCTTGTTGACCACTATTGACAAGCAAGCTGAGGTGGGGTGCCAGGCTTTCCAAGTTAGAAGCACAGAAGGAAGTGGCAGAGCCATGAAGTCTTGGGCTAAGCCATTAGGATTTCTGAGCTGAGCATAAAAGCCTCAGTTCTAATATTTGGGAGGTTTCTGGTGACAGAGAAGGGAGAAAAAGTTCAGGCTCTAGGTGGTCATAGCATTAAAGTCTTGCCATAACCTGAGCTGGGGAGGACCATGGAAAGCTTTGTTTCAGCTCTGTATCTTATAAATAAGGGATGAGAATATAAAAAAGTTGGGCAAATTGTCCCAGATATTCTGCAGTAAGAGTTTTGAGTCCTAGCTCTGCTGTGTGGCCTTGGGTGAGACAGTTAACTTGTCTATAAAACAGAATTAATAATGGTCACTATTTCATGGGGTCACTGGGAGGATTAGGTGAGTAATGCATATAGGATACCTGGCATGTTGAGCCAGGGTGAGTCTCAGTGCTAGTGCGCTGTTATAATATTACTACTGATGAGGTCTCACAGCTAACTCAAAGCAGAGATAGGACAAGAACCAAGGGTTAGTATCATATTCTGTTTCCCCACACATTGACTTCCTTTCTGAAGGGAGAAACAGAAGAGTATCCTAACAGCAAGAACCTACAGTAAAGTCATCAATGGACAATGACCCGGGCCTGGAGCCAGAAAGTTTGGAAATTCTTAAAACCAATTACAAGAGCTTTCTCCATTTTCTTTCCTTCTCTTTGCCTTCTGGAATGATCAATCTTGTGAGGGAGGGCAATTTAGGGGTACACAGCTTTGTAGAAGTATGGAAGGCACAGGGGTACCCACCAGCTGGGTAATTTTCTTTCCTTCTCTTTGCCTTCTGGAATGATCAATCTTGTGAGAGAGGGCAATTTAGGGGTACACAGCTTTGTAGAAGTATGGAAGGCACAGGGGTACCCACCAGCTGGGTAATTCTAGCTGTCCTAAAACCTAGGCCTTTTGGCAGAAGAAAGAAATAGACTTTGGGACTTCCTTCTACATTAGTCAGCCCTGGTAACTAGGGTAGGAAAATAGACAGAAATCATAAAGAAAATCTCTGTTCCTAAATGGAGTGCAGAACCTTACAAGGGATAGCTAGGCAGGGTACAGAAGGAAAAGCTATTAATTTGCATTTTGGAAGACTAAAAGATGTACACGGTAAAAATTTCAAAACATAACAAAGCATACACAGTGAAAAATATGTCTCCCACCTACTCCCTAGTTTTTCCTTAGTGACAAACTCTGTTACCAAATTTTAGTTTATTTTTCCAAGGATATTTTGTGCATTTACTAACAAAGACTCATACACATAGACTGTTCATTGAGTACAGTTTTACATGTTAGTGACTTGCTTTTTCCACTTAAAAGATCTATCTTGGAAATTATACTTTGTCAGTAAATTAAAGCTGCTTCTTTCTTTTTATGCCTACATAGTATTGTATTGAATGGATGCACCAAAATACATTCCCTATCAACAGACATTCATATTGTCTCCAAACTCTTGCTTTTACAAACAGACTTGCAATGAAGATCTCTGTACATACGTTTCTATACATGTATGTATGTATCTGTAAGATAATTGCAGAGAAGTAGAATTGCTGCACCCAAAGAAATGGTGCATTTTTAAATTCTGATGACATAATAGTATATTAGATGTGATTTTCCTGTCTTAGATTTTCAGCAAAAGCCTCAAAGACCAAACTCTGAATATTGAATCACCTACTCAGGACATGAAAAGAGACACTAATATCTGTTTTCTTTCCACCTTTAGCCTCTCCTTTGCCTCTAGGTTACATAAGAGAAGGCTAAGAGTTCGTGGAGAGGTGGAACATTAGAAGACAATGTTTCTTTAGAGCATGAGAGACTGGAGTGTTGTCAGAGCTATGTACTGTTTCTGCTTTTTATAGCTTGTTTCCCTCTTAGGTTAAGCCAAGTGAGGGGGTTCTTAAGAGTCACCCAGAGAACTTGTCATGTTTCCTTTGAAATTTGGGGATACAGAAACTAGTATTTGAGTCACTACTAGGAAAGCAATCTAAAGGCCACGATCTGTGACAAAGCTCCCTCCATGAGCAGAGTGAGAAGAGGCTGCCATGGTGTTCTGTGTTTTCTTAGATTCTGTGTTTGTCTATTTGGCACTGCAGGGCCAATTACATTAATTCGATTTTCTTATTTTCTGCATTTTTAATGCTCTAGTATTTGCAGACCTTACAGACTCAGGGAGAGAGCTGCCTTCCTACCTCCCAGAGCTTGCTAATTCCTAAAGATAATAACAAATTGCCTTCTTTCGTTGCAGACACAAGAACAGAAAACCAAACACCGTATGCTGTCACTCATAGGTGGTGTTGAACAATTTGAACACGTGGACACAGGGAGGGGAGCATTACACACTGTGGTCAGTTTGAGGGGGGGATAGGGGAGGGACAGCGGGGGTGGGGAGGGTGGGGAAGGATAATGAGAGGAGAAATACCAGATATAGATGATGGGGGGATGAAGGCAGCAAACCACCTTGCCATGTATGTACCTATGCAACAGTCCTGCATGATCTGCTCATGTACTCCAGAACCTAAATTACAATTAAAAAAAAAAGAATTGACTTGGTTATGTGGGCTCTCTTTTTGTTCCATATGAAGTTTAAGGTGGTTTTTTCCAGTTCTACGAAGAGGGCCATAGGTAGTTTGATGGGGATAGCATTGAATCTATAAATTACTTTGGGCAGTATGGCCATTTTCACAATATTGATTCTTCCTAACCATGAGCATGGAATGTTTTTCCATCTGTTTGTGTCCTCTCTTATTTCCTTGAGCAGTGGTTTGTACTTCTTGAAGAGGTCCTTTATATCCTTTGTTAGTTGTATTCCTAGGCATTTTATCTTCAAAGAGACATCTTACTTAGGAATATTACATGATCTCTTTTCTTGTGTCATTATATAGCAGATATTAAAACTTGAAAGTTTTTAATAAAGTACTTACTTCTTGTAATAACAAAGGCTATTAATTAAACTTGGGAAATCTTTTTTTTTTTCCTGTTACAGCTTTACCAAGAAAATATTTTCTTACAGAACCACATATCTAAAGTATAAGAAGTAGGAAAACATTTTTAGAAAGTTTAAAATATCTTGTTCTTCCCGTATATTTAAGTGCTTACTATACTAATATTGTTTTAGAAAGCCACTTCAAGGGGGAGTTTATTCCTTTAGAATTCTTTTAACTTTTACTTTGAAATTAAACTTTCATAAAAAGTTGCAAAAATAGTACAGAGAGTTTACATATGCCCTTCACCTCTTTCCCTGATATTGCCATCTTACATAAGCATAGCACGATTATCATGACCAAGAAACTGACAGCGATGCAATGTTGTTAATGAAATAACATATTTTATTTAAATTTCACCAGCTTTTCACTAATGTCCTTTTTCTGGTCAAGACCCAATCCAGGACCACATATTGTATAACTGACCTGTGTTCTTAGTATCCTTCAATTTGAAATAATTCCTCAATCTTTCTTTTATAGAACATAAAAGAAAGAACATTTAAAAATACAATTTACATTGTTTCTGCCCCATCCCTGGAACCAACCATTTTTCCTTGGTGTCCTAATTTGTGTGTGTGTGTGTGTGTGTGTGTGTGTGTGTGTGTGTGTGGTGTGTGTGTGTGTGTGTGTGTGTGTGTGTGTGTGTGTTGTTTTTTGTTGTTTGTTTGTTTACTGCCTCTGGATTTTGAGTCTTAGAAAACTGGCTCTAAGGTCTAACTCCTTTTCTTTCTATATCAGTGAGACACAGTAGAGCCCTACAGTCCAGTTTCCAAGGATCAGATTATTCCACATAAAATAATCACAAGGGCTTCCACATGAGGTCTAGTAGAAATGTGCAGGTGAGCATTCACCTCCAAGTTGTATCCTCTTAGAGGCTCCTGTCATTGTAAGACCCTCTGTATTTTTTATTAATTTTAATTATCCACTACATAACTATTGACCACACACATACTTCCTAAGGACAGACATTAATTCTCAGGGACTTTAGTGCCTAAATTAATATTCATAAGCAGAAACACCATCCTGATTGTAGCATCTGCTCTGCAGCTCCTTCCCAGGACACACTTGGCCCTTTGACATGCAAAGCCCTGGACAGCTCCCTTTCTTTCAGAACATGCATCAGGGCTTGATAAATGATGGGTTTCAGGGCTATCCACCCTTTAAAATTAAAGCTGTTTTTTATTTGAAGAGCATGACAAAATCTTTTGCAGAGCCTCTAATTATCTGGTAATCTCTGAAATGGAAGGGAAATGTTCCTATGGGGATATATTATTATTCTATCTGTCCCCCCCATGCAAAAATTCTGTGTGTGAGTGACAGTTTTCCTAACTAACCTTAATTGATAGTAATGTTACCTTAATATCAACACAAATGAGAAAATTAGTACCTATATAATTATACATAAAATCTGTTTCCAGCTATAAAGTCCATTTTGCCATTACACTAAACTAAACCAGAATTCATGAAAATATTTACCAAGTTGACCAAAGTCTTGTGAGCATTATCCAATGATATTTTATTGTTAATATCAAGATTAACCATCTCTGGTCAATGTTACCCAACTGCAGGCTTTATGAATGCTGTCTCCTGATCCTTGCAATAGTATTAAGTTAGTTTGCAAGTTTGCAGAAATATTAATAGCCAAAAATATGTATATTGATATACAATCAGTTCCTGCTCATAGAATCAAAAAAAGTCTGTAATAGATAAATGAGGGTAAAAACTGATTTTTAGTTGTGCTTGATTCAATTCTCTATAACATGAAAGATCATAATAGAAAATTTCATATTTCTATTTTTTATGGTCCATTTAAATTGAATATTGGTGGTTTTTATTAAAACTTTATATCATGCTTATTCAATTTTTATTCTAACTCTATTATCTGACACTAATTTTTATCAACTTTTATGTCTTAGTTTTTAATTATTTGTTTACTTGCTGTTTTTAAATGACTTATATATTGGGTGAGGCTTTCTGACTTTAACCTTTTAAAACCCTTATAACTTTGACCTAACTGGCCTCTCTTCTATTAATTTTGTTTATTACTTTAGGCAGAAACTGCTTTTTAATGGTGGATTCACATTATTTATATGAGATCCAGTGTTTGGCATATATGGTGTTAATTTTTTCAATATATATTAGGCAACTTTATTGTCTCTGGTTATATGGACTATATTTTTCCCTTTATCTTTTAAAACGTTTTAGAAGACAAAAAAAATCTATTTTAAAGCCTCATGTAAATATCTTGAAATGTTCTGTAAGCATTCTATTTCTCTTTCCCTAATCAAAAGCCTGTGTACGTCTCTGCAAGAAAGACAAAGGATGCTACTTTTTTTGTCTGCATCTCTTATTCCTTACATCCAATTTCCCATTCATAATTAAATTAGATATTTCTCACTTTTTTTCTCTTCATGTTTCTTTTATACTTTCTGTGTCTTATTTTAAATAATTACTGCAGTATCAGGACTAACCCTTCCACAGTTATTTTTACTTCTTTAATTACAGTTGGTATCAATAATTATCACAGGTTCATTTTTAGTTGATATTTTTTTTTTTTGAGACGGAGTTTCGCTCTTGTTACCCAGGCTGGAGTGCAATGGAGCGATCTCGGCTCACCGCAGCCTCGGCCTCCTGGGTTCAGGCAATTCTCCTGCCTCAGCCTCCTGAGTAGCTGGGATTACAGGCACGCGCCACCATGCCCAGCTAATTTTTTGTATTTTTAGTAGAGACGGGGTTTCACCATGTTGACCAGGATGGTCTCGATCTCTTGACCTCGTGATCCACCCGCCTCAGCCTCCCAAAGTGCTGGGATTACAGGCGTGAGCCACCGGGCCCAGCCTCACAGGTTCATTTTTTTAAGCCATTATACATTCAAATTTTTCTCTAATTTTAGCCTTTCATACTATATGTTGTAGTTGTGAGCAATTTTTTCAAAAGAAGCCCCTGGCTGCCACATTTTTTTAAGACTGGTCATGTCTGCAAGTATCTCTCTGTTGCCTCCCTATACAAATGGCTTGATGTGGTCCACTATTGTTGACTTGCACTTTATGCCCTCTGTAGAAGATGTCATTGCATTGTCATCCAGCATTGCTCATTGCAGTGGAAAAAACCAAAGCTAGTTTGAAATTTTGCTCCATGAAAATGACCTACTTTTTTTTGCTTGAAAACTTGCAGAATTATTTTTCCCCTTACGGCTTTAAATTTTTATGAAACTATGCCATGGTGTTGCTTTTTGTTGTTGATTTTTGTGTAGGACTTTGGTAGTACTCTCTGCAATTTTTTTTAAATAATATTTTCTCTGAAAATTGGTTTTGAACCTTTTGTCTGTTTTTTCACATTTAGAAACTCCTCTTATTTGGAAATTAGATCTCCAAATTTAACAATTTCTCTTGAATTATTTTCTTATTTTTTAAATTGCTTTTCCGTATTGAATATTGTAATTATGGATAAAAAGGAGAGGGAGGGTGAACACATTTTTTTGAGTCCCAGCTTTATTACCTAATACAAGTCCAAACTCTGAAACATTAAAATTCATTATTCCAAAGTTTAATTAAAAACATAATTTACAAATATTTAATATCTTCTGAAAAGCATTTCCAAGTTAAGAATGAAAAAAAATTACATAATATGTAATCAAATACCAGTTGGCTTCAAATCCCATCAAGTCCACATTCAGCAATATCAATCTTTTTAGGTTCTTCAAAATCTTCTGTTAAATCTACAAAGTTGTTTTCCACAATAAGGCAAGGAATGGAAACCTTTATTGCTTTTTGAACTCCATACACACTTACAATATCACCTGGAGTTACATGCTGTGCAAGTGTTTTAAGATTATTAGTCGCTTGTTCAGAGAGATGCATTTCTCCATATGAGGGACCCAAGAGACAGATCATATTGGAAGGAGGTCTGGTGTTCAAAAGCTCATCCTGGGCTTCCTGGGGCTCCTTGGACAATTTGATGGTCTTGTCAAGTTTCTTTTGAACATGTCAGCTTTTTCAGAGTTAAAAACTTCAACGGGAGTGCCAAAGTTTGTTACTGCTTTCAGTGCTATGAGCCTGTCCTGAGTATTGGAGTCCAAACATACTGCTGGCTCTATATCTATAATATCCATTTCATTTGCTGTGTCACATAGCCTAGTATGACCTTCATCTTCAGGTGATGACGCCTCCTGCACTTGTAGAATCCTGGAATGTTCTCCTCTTGCTAAAACATTCAGCAAATTATATGCCATAACAAATAGATAATCTTGGCATGTGACCAAAACCTTAGGGATGCTGAAAGCACTTGGAAGAGCAGTCTTCCCCAGAGTTTGAATAGACTTAATCAGAATCATCCTTGCTGACATTTGCAAATGTGGAGTCATAATGTTGTGCACAAGAACTGTAGTGTTCATAATTCAAATATAACACTCGAGTTACTTTGTTTCATTTATCCTCTTTGAACCCCTGCAAAGTATTCTCTCCAGACTGAAGTCTTCAGATTGTCATTGCTAGTCTCACAGGGCAGTCGCCCTGTCTTACATTGGGATCCACAGGACGGGGACGTCCCAATGCAGTTGTTCCATCTGGTTTTCTTCTTTCAGATTCGCATTATCAGCAAGCCGCCTGGTCAGCTTTCCTCAGATTCCTTAACGGTGCAGTCAGCCTGGTTCTGCCCTCTCTCTAAATTACTGCTTTCAAATTCGTCTTCAAGCATAATTTTGTCTTTTTACTTTCTTTGCTGGGACTTTTGAAAGCTTGTGTTTCAGCATCTCCAGAATTTTCTCTTTCTTGGCCAGCAGGGAGGCACGCTGGAGATTGCCTTAAATATAAAGAAGCCACACAAAATAACAATCCTCTAACAGAGAAGCCTTATTTTAATGAATATCAATTGGTCTCTGTTTGGCTGAATCAGGAATGACATGACAGCTGGACTATTTTATCCATTTTACAAGCAGAGCAAAGAATTTACAGATTCTTCCTTTCGGTAAAGGTGGTGAGTGGCTATCGCTAAACGTAAAGTAGGTGGAATATGTAAGTGATCTCACTTCTCTACAGTCTTTGAGGAATGCTTCATATAACCTGCGGAATAGGTCACATGCAGTAAGACAAGGGTTGGTGAGTTCTTGACATGAGGAGAGTATCCAAATAGGACTCTGGGGATTGTGTCCTAGGATATCTGATGGGAAGAAGGATCTTATCTACCTACTTGGGGTTCAGGGGAAGCCCTAGACCTAGATCCTGGACCAGTGATCTGTGCTGAACCTAGGGCTGGGAACCCACAGAGATCCAGACTGAGGGACTAGGCCAATCTAAGGAGAAGAAGGGTGGCTGGAGGGCTGGCCATATGCTCCCAGGACTGGCAGCGGTGGGGATGTGAGAAGTAGCATGCGAGTGGTCAAGGCTGGGCCTGTTAAGATGAATTAGGACAGATTATTAATGCAGTCCTTGCCGTGTAGGGGACTGACACAGAAACCAGGGTGGGACTAAGCCTCAGTGGTATATTAGTGGCCTCAGCCAGTGGAAAGGGGTAATAGAAGTCTTTGGGAACATAACAGCCATCGTTATGAGTGTGGAAGATGTATCCTACTTTTTCCCTATTTTATCTCTCTATCAGAGTTGTTTGAAAGATCCCTGGAGCAACTGTATGTCTTTTCTATAGACTTCAGAACTGGCCTCTCTTCTACAATGCACCAGCAGGTGAAAGCTGTGAAACCAGATGCCACATTTATTGTAAGGATCTTCTTGAGGACACTGTCAATGACGTATCTCTTTCCATTTGTTAGAATCATAATAAATTCTTTCAAAGAAAATTATGACATCAGAGGAATTACCAACCCCTTATGGCCTCATTTACCTTGCATTGACTGATGTTCACATCACATGTATCTGCTCATTCTTTGCAAATTTCAATTTCTACTAAGTTACCTTTTTTTTTTTTTTTTTGAGGTGGAGTCTCACTATGTCACCTAGGTTGGAGTGCAGTGATGCATTCTCGGCTCACTGTGACCTCGGCCTCTTGGGTTCAAGCGATCCTCCCTCCTCAGCCTTGCAAGTAGCTGGGATTACAGGTATGTGCCACCACACCCAGTTAATTTTTGTATTTTCAGTAGAGATGGGATTTCCCTATGTTGGCCAGGCTATCTTGAACTCCTGACCTTAAGTGATCCACGTGCCTCGGCCTCCCAAAGTGCTGGATTACAGGTGTGAACCCCTGCCCTCAGCGTTAGTTCCTCTTTCTTATGTGCGATCCTTTCATTTGAAGCACAAAAAAAGTAAACATAATTTGAATCTAGTTAATAATTTAGGTTTGGATAGCCAGTTCCCACACCTTCCTTATGGACATTGTCTTCAAAGGTGTTGCTACATTTCTACTCCTTCAAAATACTTTGACCATAAAGTAACTAGTTATTTTTGTCAAGGAAAACTGTTTGCTAAGTTCATATTCACATACTTATAATTCTGAGGTCCTCACTTGCTATTAAATTATTCAAATTTACTCACTTTTTAAATAGACTTCCACCTTCCAAAGAGGCTTTTATATATTTCATTGTTACTTTTCTGATGTTCTCCACACCTGCTAGGAAGCTGATTTGATGAGAAAAATTATTCTGACATAACATTAAATTTTCTCCTAACCATAAAAAGTGGGTCTTTGTGATTTGTGTCTTTCCCGGTACACTCATTGCACTTTCTTCTCTAGACCCATGGTTAAAGTTTGAAATCGAGGGTACATGAGAGAAGAAGAGGACTGCATATTAGAAACCCTTTTACCACATCCATATAGAAAACAGGGGCTTGCTACCCTCGGTCTAGAGAACTCAGACGCCATTGGGTGTCACCAGTGTTGACCTAAGCAAACTGCTCTAGAATCAGGAAAGTTCAGAATGGTTTCATTTTAAAAACCAAACCAAAAGCAAAACTTTATCCCTTTCTGGGATCACTGGCATTTGTGCGGGCACTTGCTCACCACCCCTCAGGAATTCTGCTGCAGTGCTTTAAGATAATCTTTGAAGGTGGCTATGTCATATAAGTCTGAGTTTTTCTCAATCTACAGCTAATATTACCTGAGGGAACACAGGTTTTCCAGAGAGTGGGAGAGAGTAAGAGAAGCTGGGAGGTGGGGGAAGGAGTGAATCAGGAAGAGAACAAGCTCAGCCAGCCTCAATTTGCTTCTGTTTTCAGGGTGTCAGCCACCACCATCTTCACTATCAGTAAGTGGAAGAGAGAGTGTAGCAAATATATGCCCAAATGCAAACCAAATGCTACCCCAATGTGCAAATCAGAATTCAATTACTTCTTGTAATTCAGTGTTCCACAGTGTAGTGTGAGATTAGACTGCTAATGAACCTAACGAAGTTGTTTCCATTTTCACATCTGCCCCCAAGCCATCTTTCCATGCTCAAATCCTAGAGGGCACAAGCAACTTTTCAAGTTCTGATTGGTTTGAAAGAATTTAATGAGTGCAATGTCCTAATGCACAGATAAATTACAATATATTTTTAAAAATACATTTTATTTGAGGCACATGCATGCCTCTTTCTAGTCAGGAAAGAGTAGTCTTGGGGAGCTCAAGGGAGAAGAATGAACTAGTCAGGAAAATCTATGGGTGCAATCAGCACTGGTGGCTGCCAATTCCTCCAAACCCTACTCACACCTGCCCTCACTTGAGTATTTATTGTAAAATTCTTAGCACAACAGAACTGTCAGAAATGGAATTGTACAAAATTGTACGTACTACTGCTTAGGCACAAATGGGTATTTTGTTTTAAAATACTTATAGTATATTTCTGGATTTTGTAAAATATCTAAAAAATGCAATGGTCCATACACTTGCTAAGCTAATATGCCCCCACAGATTCACAGTTACTTTTTCTTTCTCCTAAACTAAAATATCGTTAAGTATTCTGTGCCATTAGTTAAAATGTATAAATAGTTAATCACATTCTCCTCTTGTACAGTTTCCTCTAAACACTGTGTAAACATGCTATAGCTGGAACAAAACACAAAGGGATTTCTGATTTCTTTTTGATCAGTGGTTCCTAATGACGTATGGTAAGCATTATACCCAATCAGTTCATTCTACTTTGCATATCTAGTTTCTGTAATTGATTCATCATGCAGGACAAACATGAAAGACAGCATATGCTTCCAAAAACCCTAGACCATGCAACCTTTAAAAATGGGTTTGCTATCTTCGTCTTTAGAAGTTTTGATTCCAAAGTACATTGTCTCAGAGCACTGGACCTGAGATCCTCTCTGGACCCACTTAATCAACATCTGCAGCCATGCTATGTCACAGCAAACCTCCAAGTTCATACACGGCTATTCCTGGGCTCTGGGAGCATGCCTTTGGTTTCTTTACAGACTCCTTGGAGCAGCATGTATACTCTAATGCCACATCTAGAAAACTTGAATTCTTAACGTATACTATACTCTGGAGTTTATCAGATTTGGTGATTTTCCTTGGATGTTCCAGTCCTTGAATTTTCTTTCAAAGGCTATATTTGCCAACATCAGCTGCCAGTTGGGTACTAAAAAGCCCCAGCAGAAGAGGAAGGCGGGATAAGAGGCTGCAAGTGAAATACCAGAGAATCACATACCACTACTTTCTCCCACCAATTCACAAGGGAAAAAACCCAAACTCACAATTACTAGAGTTTTGCAACCAAGTCCGCTCCAAACATCTCTATTTACTTTTCCAAATATCTCTATTTGCTTTGATATATATACATACACACACACAGACACACACACACGCACACACACACACATACATATATACATATGAAGCAGTTTTTCAACTTTTCTTTTAGAACCTGGGGTGCATGTGCAGGTTTGTTAAAAGGTATACTGCATAATGCTGAGGCTTGGAGTACAGATGAATCTGTCACTCAGGGAGTGAACACAGTACCTAAGAGGTAATTTTTCAGCTCTTGTCCTTTGCTTTCCCTCCTTCCTCTAGTAGTCCCCAGTATCTATTGTTCCCATGTTTATGTCTTTGTCTACCCAATATTTAGCTTCCACTTGTAAGTGAGAAATGCAGTATTTGGTTTTCTGTTTCTGTGTTAATTTGCTTAGGATAGTGGCCTCCAGGTACATCCATGTTGCTGCAAAAGACATGATTTTGTTCATTTTAATGGCTTCATGTTATTCCATGATGTATATGTGCCATTTTTTTTTAATTCATCCACTGCTGATGGGCACCTGGGTTGATTCTATGTCTTTGATACGGTGAATAGCGCTGCAAGGAACATATGGGTGCATGTGTCTTTTTAGTAGAATGGCTTATTTTCTTGTGGGCATATTGCTAGGTTAAATGGTAGTTCAACTCTTAAGCTCTTTGAGAAATCTCCAAACTGTTCTCCACAGTGACTAAGTTTCATTTCCACCAACAGTGTATGTGTTCTCTGCAGCCTTGCCAACATCTGTTTTGTTTTGTTTTGTTTGTTTGTTTTTACTTTTTAACAAAAGCCATTCTGACTGCTGTGAGATGGTATCTCATTGTGGTTTTGATTTGCATTTCCCTGCATTCTTTGCACTGCAGCACTATTTACCATAGCAAAGGCATGGAATCAACCCAGGTGCCTATCAGCAGTGGATTGAATAAAGAAAATATGGCACATATACACCATGGAGTAACATGCAGCCATAAGAAAAATCATGTCCTTTGCAGCAACATGGATACACCTAGAGGCCATTATCCTAAGTGAATTAACACAGGAACACAAAACCAAATACTGCATATTCTCACTTATAAGTGGGAGTTAAATATTGGGTACACAAGGACATCTCTGATGATTAATGACAATGAGCATTTTTTATGTGTTTGTTGGCTGCTTATGTTTCTTTTGAGAAGTGTCTGTTCATGTTCTTTGCCCCCCTTTTAATGGGTTGCTTTTTGCTTATTAAGTTCTTTATAGATTCTGGATATTAGCCCATTGTCAGCCCATAGTTTGCAAATATTTTCTCCCATTCTGTAGGTTGTCTGTTTACTCCCTTGATAGTTTCTGTTGCTGTGCAGAAACTCTTTAGTTTAATTAGGTCCCATTTGGCAATTTCTGTTTTTGTTGCAATTGCTTGTAAGGACTTAGCCATAAATTATTTGCCAAGGTGGATATCAAGTATTTCCTAGGTTTTCTTCAAGGACTTTTATAGCTTGAAGTCTTATATATTTAAGTCTTTAACCTGTCTTAATTTTTATATATGGTGATAGGTAAGGTTCCAGTTAGATTGTGAAGTAGAACACACCTACAATGGAGTTTGCAAATCAAAAGTGTTCCTCAAGCACAATAATTATCTCAGGATAAATATCCATATAACCATCCAGGCCAAAAAACGGACATTGCCAGCATCCCAAAGACCCTTTCATCCTCCCGTGAGCACCCTCTCTCTACTACCCTTCCCTCAATGTTCTGGCTGTCACGGCCAATCACTGCCTTGCTTCTCTTTAGATTCCTGCTGCCGAAGCACTAAGTGTATCCCTGTGCACTATGGTTTAGTTTTGTGGTTTTCTTTTCTTTTAACATCACATAAATAAAATTATACAACACATTCTCTACTATGACTGATTCACTTCACTCCATATTACATTTGAGTATATATACATATAAAAGTCTATGATATTGTATACATTTTCAGTTCATTCATTTTCATAACTCTATAGTATGCCACTCTATGACTAGACCCTTTATTTGTTTATTCTCCTATTGATGAATATTGGGTTGTTTCAGTTTGAATCTATTACAAATAAAGGTACACGGTGCACATGTTGCTGTTGTTTATGTACCTAGAAGTGGAGTTGCTGTCCCCTAAGGTATGTTCAACTTCAGTAAACAGTGCCGTACTGTTCTCCACAATGGTGGTCGGTATCCATTTAAACTTCCAATAGTAGTGTATTTGTGCTTCCTGTTGCCCCACATCTTCACCAACACTTGGTATTGTCAGGCTTTCCTAACTTTCTGGTGCATCTTATATTTTTTATCTGAATTTCTAATGTGGCTGAGCACCTTTTCATATGTTCATGGGTCATTTAGAAATCTCATTTTGTAAAGTGTCTGCTTGAGTCTCTTATCCTTTGCTTTTGAGTTGTTTGTTGCTTGTATTTTTCTCCTGCTCTGTGGCTTACCTTTTAATACTATGAATAGTAACTATTGAGAAAAAGAAGTTCTTGCTAAGCATGATGGTGCACACCTATGGTCCCAGCTACTTGTGAGGCTGAGGCAGGAAGATCCCTTGAGCCCAGGAATTAGAGGCTGCAGTGAGCTATGATGGCACAACTGCACTCCAGCCTGGGTGATAGAGTGAGATTCCATCTTTAAAAAAAGTTCTTAATTTTAATGTTATCATATATATTAATCTGTTCTGTATGGTTGGCATTCTTGCATCCTGTTAAAGAAATCTCTCCCTACCAGGAGATTATGAACATATTCTGCTATATTATATGCAAGAAGCTTTATTGGCCCTTGGTCAAGTTGCCCCAGGTAATCCTGATTTTAAATCCATCGAGAGGGGATGGGAATGCATTGCTGTTTTCCCAGAATTCTCCTAGGCTTCTTATGCAAATTTGCTCATTGTCTAGGACCCAGTAACCTTCAAGTTCCACATATCAGTACTTTTTCACATACATACAATCTATGGGATCTCTCTCTGATCTCCCTTTCATCCTTGCAAACTTTTCCCACCAGATATTTTCCCAGATATTTTCTTTCTTTCCTCCAGTGGCTCCCTACCTTTCCTCATGTGGAGTAGTCCGTTTCTTTCTCTTGCTTCATTACTTCTGCCTCTCGTTCTTTACCTTCATGGTACAGCAGTGGCCCCAGCCAAGAATAAAGATCCTTCCTTATTGGAGGAGGGCAGCAGGGAGTCATAGGCTCAGTGGTTCCACCACACAGGGCTTGACTTGGCTATAACATCCAGTCCCAGGACCCAGGGTTCATTACACTGCTCCATTGCTCTAGCTTGTGTATCCAAGGCTCCACTCTTATTTCATTTATTTATTTACTTGTTCTTTTTATTCTCAGCCTTCATTCCCATTTCCCTCCCCTCAAACTCAAAGACATCTACGCTAATACACTTGATTTGTATCTTTTTATTTGTATACACTTGACTTAAAATATGTGTTAGCATTTTGTATGTATGCTTTTAAACTTACATAAGTCATATTGCAATGTAGATTTCATTCTGTTTCTTACTTTACTCAGCATTGTGTATGGGGCTAGGGTAGGAGGGCTGGGTTTACATCTGGCTCATTGAGTTTCACTGTATCTTGGCACAGCGACCAGAGCTTGTCTAAGTGCTGCCTTATAGGGCAGGAAAGATCAAGATGGAACTGGGGTATCTTGTTAAAGCAATGATACATTCAGAAATTGCTGTATAATGCTGGGAAAGCAAGGAGGCTAGCCTGAGGGAGCGGATCCATCCATTGTTGGCTAAAAAGCAATGAGAATGCCCAACTGAACAAGTAGTCTTGGAAGAATCTTAACTTCCCAGTGATTATGCATGACACTGCTGTTAACTTTCCTGCAGTCCAATTAAAGTACTTAAGGCAGGATTTTAAAAATGAAAGTGTAAAATATTTTAAGTAAGTGTGATATAAAGAAGCATTTCATCTTTGAGAACACAAGCCCCCCCAAGAACTGGTAACTATTTGTTCCCACAGCAGTCAAGGCCTTTGACTTTTGCAAAAACAAGAGATGACATGAATTGCTTTGGCAGCAAATGAGATGTAGCACACTCAGCGCTGGCATGCAGACCCCACATCTGTACTAACATTCATGGCCACAGGCAGTGGTGTCTTAGCAGGAGTTTCATCCTTAGGACAGCCTTAGTGAGCCAGGAGTTCTTACCAGGTCCAACTGGAGCAGAGAGGAAGGAAATTCTATCAATTTCCTGACTGGGATAGTCATTGGAAGAAGCTAATCATACCTCCTTCTCTAGTGGGTTATAAGAAATTGAGAATTATATGGAAGAAGACAGATGGGAATCAAAGTCAGGGTAATCTTCATACTGTTAATGCTGAATTGGAGAACAAGGCTTTCCTCTCCCTGCTCTCTAAATTGAAGGTAACTGGCAGAGAGGACTGACCTGATATACCCAGCTAGGTTCAGGTAAAACATCTTTAACCCAGAGCAGAAATCCAACTAGCTCTAGCAGAAATAAGTCCTGCTTGCCTAAGTCCAGGTGGTCCAAGAAGAAGAGAGCCAGAGAAGACTGCCTTGCTGCTGTAAGACACCATCGGTAACCTGGGCCACTAAGTTTAGCTCCTCATCAGAGTACAGGAGGAAGTAACAAAGTGAAGGGAAGGGTGGACATTTCCTCACCATCGCTTTTGAAAGGGCTGAGCTATTGTATGAAGTACTTTCCTTTATTAGCAGAATAAAGAAGGTGGAGAGAGGATGAGAAAGATCCCCCCTGCCAAAGTCTATAAAGACCATGTGCAAATGTAGCTGGTGACTTAAGACTGGAGTGGGAGGAAACCATAAGCCAAAGAAATAATGATTTGTGACTTACATAATTACCTTTTCTCTACACATAGATGTACAGATAGTTTGGGAATCTTAATACATATTTTGAAAGGCCTACTGAAGGGATTCCCACACAGTAAATCTCCATGCTTCCGTGGGGAGTGAGAAACTTTTCCACTTCTCACATCCAATATGACTCCTCCCATGGTGTCCAAATACTTCGTGGCTGTGGTCATGGAGAAAAGAGTGCCCCTTTGTGAGCCTTGAGATACCAACCAGGGGAGAATGGGGACACGTCTTTGCCTGGTTGGAGCTCCAGCTTGATCAACTGGGGCCCCCTTTGTGCAGTAGAGAGAGGCCAGCCCAGTTCTTTTATGAGCTGTCCAGGAGGTAACACACTATAAACTCCCTTGGGAAGGGATAGGAATGTGTCCTGGAAGCTTGTCTGAAAATCAGTGACTTTCATTTATGGGAATGAACTTGTTTCCAGAACTGGGAAGAAAATCTATGGCAGATATCTGCTCCCCTCTCCCCATAGACTTAGGAGAATTTTCCCTGGAGCAGGACTGAAATGAAAGAAGAGGTGATTTCCTAGGCAGCCCAAGCCCCTTGTAGAAATACTCCAGAAATGGCAAATTTCTGAGAAGACAGAAAATAAAATAAAACCGTAAAATAGTAACAGGCTTACCTGGGAGGCTGGGGAATAATCCGTTAAGACACTTCTGAGTATTTGAGTGTGTGGAGAGTAACAGGGATCTAAACTCTAAATACCCAAAAAGGTAGGAAAATAAAACCTCAGCATGTGCATTGATAATGAAAAAACTTGCAATTAGCTGGGCATGGTGGGGCATGCCTGTAATCCCAGTGAATCAGGAGGCTGAGGCAGGAGAATTGCTCAAACCTGGGAGGTAGAGGTTGCAGTGAGCCAAGGTTGCACCACTGCTCCAGCCTGGGTGACAGAGCGAGACTCCATCTCAAAAAAACCAAACCAAAACAAACAACAAGACTTTCAAATGGCAAATGAGAGAGAGGGACTTTATGGGGAGGAGTGAAGGATAATGATGGCTAGAGGTTGACTAGAGATTGAAGAGTCTGAGTTTTATTGGTTGGCTGGTTTTGTTCTGTTTTTAGATTAAAGTGCTCCAAGAGGTTGAAGCTGCAGATAAGAGAGAAGACGCCTCATGGAACAAAGTGCCCAGGGCGGTCGGAGAAAACGAGATTCCGAGTGAATGTGAACATGGAAAGATTCCCTTGGAGAGGGAAGATGCACCTCTTCTACTGATCGGTGAACTTTCGGGTAAGAACAGAAGCAAATGTAAGTTTGGACCAGAGTAGGGGAGATTAAAGGAGCGCCATCTCATTGCCAGTGCTTTTTCTGGGGAGTATGCAGGCAGGTCACTGCCTAGAGTGAACAGAGTGGAGCTGCAGGGGAAGATGGCAGTGGCAGTTTAAATAGCCACTGGGGAAGACAGGTGATGGTCCAGGGAGGCTGGGCCAGCCAGGGGACAGGGGACATGCACAGCTTTGACAAGAAGACAGGAGAACTGATGGTGTGAGCTTGGAGAAGATGGTGACAAGGACTGCAATGTCACAGCACACTTTTGGTGAAGCTTGGGGTCTGAGCAATGCCCCTTGAAGGGCCCAGATTTCCCCAGCTTCTTTGCTCCCTGATAGGTTAGGTTTGCTGTCACATGTGAGGGGCCATCACCTTGCAATGGTGACAGCATTCAGAGTGGACATGCCACCGCAGAGAGCTGGAACCATGGAGACCATTGTGACCTGGAGGCCAGAATGCTGGGAAACAGAGTGGCGCCTCACAGAAATCCAGAGGTGAGGGCGTGGGGTTATCAGTCCAGCTCCTTAGTTAACAGCTAAGGAAGCTGAAGCCCAGGGAGATAAAGACAGGGGCAGAGGAGGAATTCTTTCTCAGCAGATCTTCCATTCCTAATTCAGGATCATTTCCAGGGCTCCCAGGTAAGAAAACGGGGAGGGAGAAAACTGAATGAATCTCCTCTTAGAGTCACTGGCCTCCTAGGGGTGGGCTGTTGGCTGCACTCCTGGGCATTTTGGCACAACTTTTAATACAAAGGCTTCTCTTTTCTAGGATCTCAGGATGCTTGAATCCTGGGACAAACACAGAGTAAGGAGCTCCTGAGGATGGGG